ATCTACTCGCTACAACCAAATGTAAACTGTGTCAACAAAATTATTCGCACACCCTCCGTCACTACGTGATGAAGTGCGAAAAGATACGTGAATTTAGAGACAATTCTATAACCAATGTTCCAGCGATGTGTCAATATTTCATTCAAAATGATCTGCTACCAGAAATGTTAGCCAAATTTCCCCAGTTTGCTAACTGTAGGTAGTAACTAAGTGATTGTAACCTATCCACCGCTGCCCACTGGATGGGGGGCGGTGTGCAGGACAAACATATAAATTTCTGACCAGGGGGAGAAAGATACTGGCAGTATGGGGCGTTAAAGTTTATTGAAGATTAAATTCTGCAGAACATGTAAATATATAAAGTTCACATAAAGTAAGTAATTATATAAAGTTTATATTAAACACGGTTTATATTATAGGCTTAACAAAGTTGATATTATATAAAACTTAATATTGAACATGTAAATATACAAAGTTTCAAATATAATTTAAGGAATATATAACGTTTATATTAAAATATATAAAGTAAACATATAAAGTAAATATATAAAGTAAGAATTAACAGTAACAATTCCAAGGACTAGATTTAACTTAAAAGGTACACCCGTAGTAAGTATGAGACCTTAGCCTATAGTGACATGGAAACTAATTCTGCAGAAACCTAAAGGTTAACTGGTACTAGAATTAAGGCCGAGTGCAAATGTGTAGTAATTATATAACACTAGGATATAACAGGCAGGACACAAAGAATAACTAATAAGTGAGAGACCACATAACACGTAATGTACCCGGCCAAGAGGCCGTAAAAGACCTAATGGATAAGGAGAAGGGGGTGTGACTACAAGTAGGGCTTACTAGCACCTAGACTGGGCAAAGTATTAGCTGCGGACAGCGGGACACTTGGGGACCGGCGCTGCACCCCCCTTCCCACATGCAGTGGGGAGACAATCGGGACAACTGTGCAAAGCATGACGGGGGTACAAAAGCAGCCGCTTGCAAAAAAGGGGGGGAGGGTGGGGTTTTGCGAGGGCAGCGGCGAGGGCAGGCGGAGTGAGGCGGAGCCCCGTTGTGCGCCCGTATTTATATGGCCCCAAACTGCCCGCGCAACGCCGCGGGACGCGCTGCGCAATTGTTTCTTTCTCCCCCGCCAGAAACATCCCCGCTTGTGATGCAAGCAGTGACCATTTTTGACACTAGCTCTCCACATATGTCAGTTGCTTAATTTAGAACCTGTACTTGGGGTCGATCTCGAACCCATTGTTGATGTGATGACTTATATTGAATTTTGTAACTAGCTCATCAAGATTGTAACTTGCTTAGCCAAATGAATTGTGGGGTTCAGTCCCTGAGCCCATTATGTGCCTCTGTAACCCTTTCCACTACCGCCCACAAGATGGGTATGGGGTGCATAATAAATGAACTAAACTAACTAAACATCCGTAGCAGGTCATTTGCATGTGCCTGTTCATTTAGGCTACTTCCTGGTATTCTTTCTGATATTACTGTATTAGCCAGGTGCTTCCATTTCAGGTGCCGTAGGTTGAAGTCCCCAAGTGCAGTCATCGGGAGGACAAACCCTTCATGCAAACTGCACCTACTATCAACAAGAAGAAGAAGAAGTCCCCAAGCAGGATGATGTTCGGAGCTGGATTTGTGAGGTTTTCCAAGCAGTGTTCTATTTTCATTAGTTGGTCTTTAAACTGCTGAGGGTTTGCCTCCGGTGACTTATATACAAGGACAATAACTACATTTAGAATCTCTATTTTGATTATCAGCACTTCCACCTTATCATTTGAGGTGTTTAGCAGCTCAGTACAGATGAGTGTGTCTTTGATGTAGAGGCTGACCCCACCCTGTTACAAAATTCAATGTGGATGGAACGTTAATTATAATATGGGCTGTGCACTGTGGTCAAAATGGTGAATGATTCTTCTCGATTCTTAGAATCGTGTGTAGATATGAGCGTGATATGTATATATGAGCGTGTAGATATGTGAGGTTAAGCTGATTGATCAGTAGTTTTCTTCTTAAGTTTCACTTAAGTAGTTTCACTTAAGTTTCACTTCCACTTAAGTTTCTGCCTCTTGATGATAGAGGTGACATTAGCATACTTCCAAACTACGGGAAACTCCCTCGGCCCAGAGATTTTCTGAAACGGATTGTTTCAGTGGTAGACAGTTTATCGATTTTGGGTTCCATTCACATCTGGGGCTTTAGAAACCTTTAATGTGAATGCTACACTGTATTCATCTATATAAGTGTTTTTCCCACACCTTGATCGAAACGCTCTGTACGTGTATTAGTGACTTAATTAGGTATTGTATGCATTAGCTCTATAAACCCAACATTATTTTTGTAACTCATCTTCTATGTATGTAATTTTACCTGAATAAACATTTGAATTTGAATAACCATCATATATATTGAAATACACCCCCCCCCCCCTACATTTACAGCCCCGCTCTTGTGCCAGATAAGTCCCCTACGGGCTCACCATAGCCCGTGCTGCCTGGCCCCACCACAGGGAAGCCCCCAACCATCCCCCACCACAGTGGACCACGCCACCTTCCACTACTCTCCAACAACATTGTCTTCCTCAGCTGCCCACTGCTACAGACGAAGATGAATTCTCAGATGCTGAGTAACCAGCTGGCCCAGCAGCAGGCCATGATGCAACAGAGTCAGCACGTCCAAATGTCTGCCATGGGTTAGTAGGGTGGGGGGGGGATATGTATAGGCGTATAGTGAATTGTTGTGTATGGGGGTACTCTTCTCTTTTCCTCTTCCACATGCTTTTATTTTAGTTTATTACGGACCCCCCATACCTTTTCTTGCCACAATGAACCTCAGGATTAAATTAGTTTACTGTGGGCCCCATACCTCCCCCTTTCCCCTTAACCTAACCTAACCCATCCCAACCCAATTGAGCCAAACCTAAGCTAATATGGGATGTGATCAAACCGTACACAAGACGGTCTAACAATGTATTTTCCATTTATTAAAGCGACCATATATCGTTGAATCGCTAGGTTGGGTATGGTTGTGTTAGGCTAGATTGGCTAAAGTTAGGAAGATTTAAAAATCTTGTAGGATTAATTAGTTTATTATGAACCCCATACACATCCCGTGGGAAGTCAAAATTATTAGTCACAGTGGGCATGGATATTGGGCTCTTAATATTTTAACTAGGCATAGCTATCTATAATTGTAAATTGATTGATGATGTGGATACAGGTTACTCTGTACCCAAGAAATTTCATCAGTGGATTTTAAAACCACCTACCCTAACACACAGAGATCACACTAACGTGATGCATCAACACTAACGTGATGCATCAAATGAACAAATCCACAAGGGCCGTGACAAGGATTTGAACCTGCATCCGGGAGCATCCCAGACACTGCCTTAATTGACTGAGCTACGACAGGGTAAAAGGGTTGAAACCGAAGTTCTAGAACTTCAGTTCGAACTTCAGGTTCGAATCCTCGTCACGGCCCTTGTGGATTTGTTCACCTACCGAACCTAATCTAAGTCAACCTAATCCAAACCTAGCCTAACATAACCTAGCCAAATTTAACAATATTTGTGTTTTTAATATAATTACAGAACACACCTTGTCAAAAGTGCTGTGTATGATTGAATCATACCACTCATACATTCTAATTATAGGTATGTGCTAATTATTAGTTTAGTTTATCTTGCTGCGATTTTCTTAACTAAACTAATATTGGAATACAATTCCACAGATCATTATGTGCTCCTCTAATTGTTCCACCACTACTCAAGGATGGACACAGGATATTTTTGTGTGAAATTTTTATTTGTTGCAATATTGATATTTCTTAATTTTTTACTGTAATGAATGCTCTGCAAGAGTGGGTAATGTGCTCTGATCAACGTAAGCCTCAACTTAGACATCCTCAATATTGCCTTCTCTAATAAGTACTCAGCCCGAAATGCTATGCATATTACTGGCTTTAGGTACTGTATTGTATATACTAGCTCTATCTATAAATCCAACAATATGTTTGTAACTGCAGCTATGTATGTACTTTTCCTGAATAAAATATTATTATTATTATACCTTAAGTAAAAGACATGCCGTACTATGAGTACAGCCCCACAATTCAGTGTAGCGAGAAGTACACATCTAACCATTATAATTTCCAAGGAGTGTACACTTTGCTCTGACTACCAAGACCCACACCTCACTAATTAATTTCACAGAACCTCTATATAGATACACCAGTCAATATGCAGTTTCTGGCTTAGCTCATCATCTGATTGGTCTGACCATAGGTTCATGTGACATCTTCAGGAGTATGGAGATAGCATTCTTCTTAGCCCGCCTAAGTGAGGTCAAGATGACGTGACCCGAGGTAGCTAGCCACCTTCTTGCCTCTGCCAGTACCAACCAAAATCGTAGCAATTCACCCATGCTATACAACAGATGAATAAGCATTCATCATCGCATCACATAACCAGACATCTTATGTCTTATGCCATACTTTATCTGAATTGTAGATATGATTACAGTACAGTACTTACACAGGGACACCCAACATGATGGTACTGTACTCCAACCTGAGATGATGATAATCATACTGCACATTGCACAGCAATCTGCAACTATGGGTGTGCAGGTTTGGCCGAGAAATTTCCACACTCGCGCAACAGTATTTGATGATGCTACAGTAATTTTCTCACAAAATCAAAAGTAATAATAATTTATCCCTGTACTGTATAATAATTGTATTAATAAAATATACATAAAAACATATCACGGTGGTTTATAGTAATAATAATAATGTTTATTCAGGAAAAAGTACATACATTCATACAAAATGAGTTACAAACAGAATGTTGGATTTCTAGATAGAGCTAGTATATACCGTGCTTAAAGCCACTAATACGCACAGCGTTTTGGGCTAGAAACGTAGGTAAACGTTATCTGTAATAGTAATCTGTAATAGGAATCAACTGTAGGTACAGAGGTCCCATATTAAATAAACCCACTAATACTCAAAGCATTTCAGGCACGTTTTATACAGTCCTGTAATTTTTATCATGCGTGTACAAGCATGCATATTTTGGTAGAAAAAATGTGACTTTGGAAGGTCACTGGAATATAAATACATTTTCTATGTGCTGTACCCTTAAGTATGATTGGTGCATGTCTGGTTTTACACTGGTTTTATAGGAATGTAACTGGCAAGCAAATCAAGGTCATTCTGTATATACATCTCTACTTTTCACCTGTTACTTGTTGGGGGATGGCAGAAATACCACTGGCTACATGTCACTTTAAGCATAGCTTTCCTAGTGCTGTTAATTATTATTTAAATACTTATAAGGTTAGCTAACATTTTGTGTGTTGTATTTGTAGGACAACAAAACCTTCAGCAGCAACAGCAATCTCAAGAGCAACAACAACAACAACAGCAGCAGCAGCAGCAGCAGCAGCAGCAGCAACAGCAGCAGCAACAACAACAGCAGCAACAGCAACAACAGCAGCAGCAACAACAGCAACAACAACAACAACAGCAACAACAACAGCATCAATCCAGTCAACAGCAAGAATACAAATTGGACAACATAAGTCGGGTTAAAAGCCACTTTGGGCAGATGAAAGAAGCTCTCATGGTGAGGACCTATGCCAAGTTAAATGACTATTATTATGTGATTTATATTTTATTTATTACCTGTTAAACTCATCTTGTTTATATCAAATAGAATAATTCGTGTAGAAAAACCAGACATTGTAACTATTACAAATTTCCACAAACTTGTCCACCCATGATCATTCTGTAAACTATTACCCTTGTTCACATAAATAAGTAAATTAAGTTAAAATTAATTTATATATTGCAAAAATCATAAAACACAACTATTGATGATTTTTCTGAAGCTATCTATGGCAAGAAAAGATTGTTATAGCTTAGGAGTTAAACAACATGCACCAGTTATTAAAAAACTTAGCATGCATAAAGAGTATGCATTCATGCATACTCTTTAGCATGCATTCCCAACTTGCTTCCCTTAGTCACCGATAGGTAAGCACCATTACTGGCATCACCACACTACCACCACCATAACTTATCAGCCTTTTCACCTGTACCTTACAGCACTGTGCTTATTACACTTGCCCAAACTCATTATATCTCGCGTATTCACGGCACTTGGCATACACATTATGACACTTCATATCCTGAGATACGTTAACCTGGGAATACGTCTCTTGATTGCCCATGATCTAACAAAAATAGAGGAAGAACAGGAAGTCTGTTGATGCATGTATGGCAGCTCATATTTATAGCCAACCAAACTCATTTATTCATACTGTATGTCTAATCTTAGCTTGAAACAATTTAGTAATACCATGTCTGTTATGTTACCTGGTAAATTGTTCCATAAATCAAGTCTACAGTATTTCCCAAGTAGCATCTACCCGTGTCTTTTTCTGGATATAAACTTTCCCAATTTGTATCCATTGTTTCACATACTACTGTATTTTGTTTTGATATATATAACACACTAATATTACCTTTCAATCATTGGTATACGTACTTCAAGACAACAACCCTTTGCTCTTCACCTCTGAACAATGTAAATTGAGCTTTCTTAATCTCTCATCTAAAGGGAGGTTTCTAATTCTGGGGTGTAAGTTTATCTTTCTCTACACATTCAAGTGAATTTATGTCCATTTTGTAGTATGGGGACCAAAGCTGAACCATTGGACCAAACAAGGGCAACATTAAGCTAAAGGATAATATAAGATGTCTTGGGAAATTATTTGGAGCAATGTGGGGATTGAACCAGCAACCTGGGCCAGGATTCAACTAACAGTTATACATCTACATACTTACAGATTTGTTCATCTTTTCTCAATCTTCGGTGGCTTTGTTTACATTTGTTAAACAGTTTACAAGGATCGAAACTTCCCAATTGAATGTTATTAATGTTTTAAACAGCTTCAGAGTGCGTTGGATCTCATAAACAGTTTAATAAAGGTAAACAAAGTCACCAAAGATTGAGAAAAGATGTACAGGTTCGTAAGTACATACACAACTGCTTGATGAATAGCTGGCTGCCTTGCATTGCTCCAAAGGGTTTTTGAATGAATAGATCAGGGCATCGTCATTTCATTGTGTATTAGATACCTTATTATACATACTTCAAGAGGAAGAACAGGATAGAAATGTTTCTAGAAATGAAGCCCAGTATATTGTTTGCCTTATTCTGTACATTTATACATTGATGATTGGGCTTAAGATTCTACTAATCATGATTGAAGCACAATATGAAAAACTTTGTTAAAGTTTAAATATATAGGTTGCAACTGCTAGAAGTATGGGCAAGAAACGTAGGTAAACGTTATCTGTAATAGGAAACATCATCTGTAGGTACAGAGGTCCCATATTAAATAAAGTCACTAATACACAAAGCATTTCAGGCACATTTTATACAGTCCTGTAATTTTTATCATGCGTGTACTAGCATGCATATTTGGATAGAGAAAATGTGACTTTGGAAGGTCACTGGAATATAAATACATTTTCTATGTGCTGTACCTTAAATATGATTGGTACTCACATGAGAACAAATTTGTTAAACATGAGCAGCCCTTAATAAAATCATGTTGTGAATTCTTTATGGGAGGGTTCCCTAGTAGCTCCATGAGCTAAACACTGGCCTTAGGGAGAAGCCTACTGAGATTTAGAACCAGAGTCTGGCTTGCTATGAAATGAGGAGAGCTTGGGGATCAGAGATTAGCCAAAAATATTCACCTTTCTGGAAATCTTTGTATTATCCTCAGATTGGATGATGTTATTTAAGATGTTATCAGTTTCACTGATGTCCATTGTAAATAGGGTTGGCCCCAAAATGGATCCTTGTAGACTCCACTCCAAACATTATTCCAGCCAGTTTTTACTCCATTTAGTTACTTTTACTCCATTGCTTTGCCCTTTGTATTTCAACCACTGTTTTATCCATTCCATTATTTTTATGTTAGTAAGAATTAAATTTTAATGTTTATTGTTGCTTGTAGTTAATACAGTATAAAATTGGCATATTTATTTTTTATTAAATCAACAATTCTTCAAGAGTTCCACTTTTAAGCATTATAAAAGTGTCATATAATTTAAGTGAGAGTATGGTCAGTTGGGAGAGAAACAGAATATGCTAGCATGATGCATGAGATTGTTCACATTAACACTAGAACTGGCATTTGTTGTGGTAACAGTAACATATTCCTGTTGACAGGAGACCCTCGGGTGTGCAGTGGCCAACCTTAGCGGCAACCACCAAGTTGACCTAGGAAACAGGTAATTGGGTAACCCTGGTGGGATGCCTTATGGTTTTCACATGAGAATGCTTTGTCATATTTACTTGGAATCTACAACATAAATGTATACAGGTAGTATGTATGTAAAATTATGCTTCACATTGAAATTGGTCATTGTAGCACAGTAACCTTTATATTTTGTATTACTACTACTTTTCTCAGTTTTCATGTTATACTGTATCTCAAGAAGTCCGTATTAGCTTCAATCTCACAATCCTTCGCGTGTGATCATGAAACTCATGAGTCTATAATTTGTAGTCATTTGTAACTCTTCAGTACTTCAGTAACTTGTAAATCTATTGTTAATATTACATTTTGTTTCCTTTAATATTGAGTGGTGTTTACAGGAATGCTGGTGAAATGCAGCATGCTAAGTTTGAAGAAAGTATTGAGAAGTTTTATACACTCTGTGACCAGATGGAATTGAATCTTGTGAGTATTTTATCCCTTTTTGTTATGTTGTTAATTTTTAACTTGCACACTGTTATTACAGGCTCTCCTAAATTCTCTAAGATGTACAGGTATTTGTCTTTTTCCCAAGTAATTAGGTACAGTATCAAAATAATTTTTCTCCTTTAGTGGTGTGTATGTGATATTGGGGGAAATTCCTTATCATATTGAGTTGAAACTTTCAAAACTTAGCGTCATACATAGTTTCTGGAGCAGAGGTCTTGGGCCCTATCTATGTTCATAGATAGATAGGTCTATGTTCATAGATAGATATGGTCATAGATAGGGCCCAGGAAAAAAATGAACTTGGCTATGTTCAATTTTCTTCCCCTGTACTTGCTCACTAGAAATGTATGGTTTCAGGCAAAACTGTCTGGTGGAGTACAGTATGTATATAAAAATGTACTTTGACAATTCTTGTGTTTTGTCCCCCTTTCTTTGTTTATTATCTTGTAAGTTCCAAGAGGCTTTGGTTTTTCTCGTGCAAGTGGATTCAGAACTGGGGATCACATGCTGTATGTGAAAGGAGTCCTGTACCAGATCAAGAGATTGTTCTCTCTCTACATGTGATGTTAGATTCACCCAACCTATTGTCTCATAATTAAAGTCCCTAATTATAGCAGCTTGGATTTCAGCCACTGCATTTTATTACATTATACAGATTTGTAACTTCCTCTGCTGTAGCTGTGTCTGCCCTGTAGCATACTTTCGCTGTCAGTTTGCTACTATTTCAAGCTTGTACATTGCACCATACAGATTCTAAGGATACTATGTTGTTTAGTTCTTCATTGCTGGTTATAGTCAGATTGTCATTTATATAGAGAGTATCGTACCACCACCACCTCTTGTTGTTCTGTCCTTCCTGAAAGGTGGGTGGTATCCTGGAAGATGTAATTCTCCTGCAATTAAATCTTCTCGTCCTCATGTTACACTAAACTCGATTACTGAATATTGGGATTTTCAGCATCAGTGTGTGTGTGTGTGTACTCACCTAATTGTGCTTGCGGGGGTTGAGCTTTGGCTCTTTGGTCCCACCTCTCAACTGTCAATCAACTGGTGTACAGATTCCTGAGCCTACTGGGCTCTATCATATCTACATTTGAAACTGTGTATGGAGTCAGCCTCCACCACATCACTTCCTAGTGCATTCCATTTATTAACTACTCTGACACTGAAAAAATTCTTTCTAACGTCTCTGTGGCTCATCTGGGTACTAAGTTTCCACCTGTGTCCCCTTGTTCGTGTCCCACCCGTGCTGAAGAGTTTGTCTTTGTCCACCCTGTCAATTCCCCTGAGAATTTTGTAGGTGGTTATCATGTCACCCCTTACTCTTCTGTTTTCCAGGGATGTGAAGTTCAGCTCCTTTAGCCTTTCCTCGTAGCTCAATCCTCTCAGTTCCGGGACGAGCCTGGTGGCATACCGCTGAATCTTCTCTAACTTTGTCTTGTGTTTAACTAGGTATGGACTCCAGGCTGGAGCTGCATACTCCAGGATTGGTCTTACATAAGTGGTATACAGGGTTCTGAAAGATTCCTTACACAAGTTTCTGAAGGCAGTTCTTATGTTGGCCAGTCTAGCATATGCCGCTGATGATATTCTTTTGATGTGGGCCTCTGGGGACAGGTTCAGTGTGATATCAACCCCCAGATCCTTCTCTCTATTTGACTCTTGCAGGATTTCCCCTCCCAGATGATACCTTGTGTTCAGCCTCCTGCTCCCTTCGCCTAATTTCATCACCTTACACTTTCCCGAGTTGAACTTTAGCAGCCAGTGTGTGTGTGTGTGTGTGCACAGTGCATCAAATTTATTTACTGGGCTTCTGGTATTAGTGTAAAAACAATTTAGACTCCTGACATTGTTCTTAGGAGCTGAAAGGTTGTTCCCTGTGTTCTGCACACGTTTATTCCATACATTGTCCCTTTGGTTTTGTGCCTGCTTGTCATTGGAGATGTATGTATAGGCATAGTTCTGTCTTACTGCGTGAAGGACTTTATCCTCCACTCTTATCATGGTCACCTGCTTGCTTCGTATCTTCAGTTTCAAATTGATGCTTTGCTCTGCTTTTCTTAATTTTCTTAATTTTTTTTTTTTTTTTTTTTTTTTTTTTTATACACTATGAGGTCTGGGATAATGAATATGTTGTTATTCCCATGCAGCCATCATAGGTTTTGTGATATTGTTTGTACTGCATTGTCTTTCTTTGCTCAAGATTTACAATGGTTGTATATATCAAGTTTGCTTCAGGCCTACCTGCCCTCACTATCTGGGAAATGTTGACATCTTCCTCTTCACCTACTAGATTTCTTATCATTTCCTAAATATTTTGCTGATCTAATATGTCATCTGCATATTCTATAAAATATCTGCATCTAATATTCTGCAAGTTTCAAATAATGAGTTTATTTTTTCACTTGTCTCTCTCCAAAGCTTTTGAATCCCTTTCACCTACAATGCCTGTGACCTCAGTGATTTCCCCAATTGTAGAATTACCCTCCGAATTCTCCTGGTTTACTGCAGGTACTATGGTCACAAGCACCCTTTGTAGCATTTGTTCCACATCCTATAACTGCTTCTTCAGATCCTTCTGGACATCTTGTAGTCCTTTTATTTTATTGTAATTTTATATGCACTGTGCTCCAAAACAAAATACTAGTGATTTTTGTGAATTTTGAAAGGGATGACTCATTTTTAGCATCAACAGAACGTTTACTTTGGAAGTTTAGGGCGACTCATTTTAGCATTATTGGAATGCTAAAGTTATAAATTCAACATTAATTTTCAACACTTTTCACACTTTTTTCACACTTTTAGGGGACATAATCCTATTAAGCTTATCAAGGTTTCCCTGGACCTGCATCACAGTGCAACCTATAACAGTTGCCTAACTCCCAGGTACCTATTTATTGCAAGTCGAAGAGGCATCAGGTTTAAGGAAATGTGTCCAAACATTTCATCCTGCAAGGTAATCAAACCTGGGACTATTTGAGTTGACTTCATTACATGCATTCTTTAGTGAAACAACACTATAATTAAACAATAATTAAGCAATCTCCAGCCCATTACCACCACCCCTTTTCCCTCACCGTGTTCTTCAGGTCTCCTAAGATCTCTCGGTACAGTATACTATACCATGGTAACATATGTTGTAAAAACCTATAAGCATTGATCTTTGCTCTGTACTGAGCCCCATAACTACTGTTTTGTTTTGTTTTGTTTTTGTAGAGAACAGCCATTGACAGTCAGTTGCAAGGAAAAGCATCCCAACTTTACACACCAAGCTCAATATCCTCGCCACCTGTTGATGTACAAAAATATGCTCATTACCTGGCAACAGTGAGAAATCAAGTAGTGTATGCTAAAGACATTCACACAGCTCTCGTTGATGCTGCCACCAGTATGAGCATCAACACCACACCTATGTCTACTATGGACACTAGCAATTGATACGTTGGTTTTCATAGTTCTTTCTAAAAGTTGTATACTGTAATTTGTTTTCTGTAAATGTATAATGTATTCTTAAAATGTGTTATTTGATTTATACCTTGGTACCTTTGGTCGGGTTTATGCCTGATCTGTTTCATAAATGCTCATAACTTAAATAATTACAGGTATAAGTTTGTAATATGCATATACAGTATTTTCCTGCGTGTATTGTTACTTATATACTGTAAACACATCTTTACTTTACAAGTCTTTAAATTTGAATATTAAAAACTGAAGATAAAACAATCAGTGGTTTACAAAAATGATCAGCTTTCTTACAGTAGCTGTAAGAAAGTACTGTACTGTAATTGTTGAAATGGACTAGGAAAAACAAAAAGTAATGATTTTTGTGTTGGAAAACTATAGTTGTACAGGAAATTGTTATAATTCCTTTGCAGTCTAAATTCCAGAAACCTGGTTACCCCACACGACTGATTTTTTTTAGGTTACCACTTCAAGAATTTTTGTTTCCAGGTTAAATTAGTTATTTTTTGCAAATATTTTACAAACTTGATAAAAGATTCTGATGGTGGTACATAAAAATTATTGCATTTTCCAACAAATATAAAGGGTTACAAATGGTATTGCCACCTACTAACTAATTCTGTTTGCCAGAATTATTCATAATTATAGAATGTTGAGGTTAATGCATAAGTAAACCCAAAATATAGTCTTGTATATTGGTGCCTTACTGTGTGTTGCCAGTAAGAATGTTTAAATGTTTTGCTTTCTGTAAAAGTAATATACAGAACTTTTTAAATACTGAAGTACTGTATGTCATGATTCATGTCAAGATGTTTTGGACAATATGATCGAATTTGAATATCATAAGGATATCCAATTTAGAAAACATAAATGTTGACAATTTAGTGTTCTATACCCATAACCTTCACTGGTTATTGCTGGTGTGTAAGATTGTCTTCATAACCTGAAGACCCCCTCACAACCAGGCTGGTATGGTACACTAGCTCTGGCACCAACTTGTCCAGTTCTCTGAGAGCTTCCACTGTTGTTCTAATGGATATAGAGGGACAATTTCTAAGCTATGAATATCTCAGAATAATTGCACAGGTATTTTGAGATAATGACGTGATGAATGCTGGATGTATTCAGCTTCAGCTGTACACAGCTTCTATTTTTATTAACAATGTTAAGTTTCTAGTAAATGGGTAGAATGTTGTATGATGTACCAAAAAGAAAAGTTAATTTTGTACTGTATTTTGGGAGAGGTCCCCAAGACAGTAGACAATGGCCAAACCTGTTTGTCATTTTTTTCTTCAACAATCAAGATAGCAAAAACCCTGTAGAACTGGCTGTTGCATAGACCAATGTTTTCTGTAATGTAGTCTTAAGAGAGATTCCCAAAGTTAAAATTGGCTACAGTTCGTTAGATTTAAATGTTGTATTCCTTACCGTTAACTTCACTGTATTTCTATGGTTTTCCATAGCCTTTTTGGTGAGTAGAAATAAATCTGTAATTATCAAAAGGTGCAAAGTCGAGGAAACTTATGCAGCACCATTAAACTGGTTATGATCAAAAAGGTAATATCTAGCCCCTTTTACTTAGAACAACAAAAAGTAATTAAGTAAAAGGGGCTAGATATCACCTTTAGAACATCATGCCACTTTGATGGTACTACATTTAGTTTAACCGGCTTAATGCCCTCTTGATAATTACTTAGATTTTGAATTTGTATTAAAAAGGCTATGACACTTTAAAGTGTGTGAAAGTTAAGTATTGAAATGTGTGCAGCATTAAAAGAAACACGGCATCGAAAATTTTAACATGTACTTAACAGATTTTAACTTTGGGAACCTCTCTAAAATTAGTTCCCAACTTTACCCCAAAATTACTGGGTAGATATATTCTAGAAAGCATCTCTGCATCCGTCAGTTTCTCTGCTGCTATTAAAGACCTACAGGTCAAGATAAATGTTAACTTCACTCACTTATGTAACACCCGGTCGATAGTAAATGTCAAAGCGTGTATGATTGAACAGACCTAGAAAATGCTGAATGAAAGGGAGAAAAAGTTATCTTGGTACTCTTCCATCGCACTCATTAAATCTTGTATATATATATATATATATATTATATATATAACAAGTAATTATCAAAAGAAGGCACCAAACCGGGAAGGCTATATATATATAAAAACAAAAAACTATAACCTGGCCTAGGAGTCTACACCAAATTACTCACAAGTTAGTCAAAGGAATTCAACTTATACATTGTCAAACTGCTTTAGAGCCTCCTCGATACGTTTCGTATATGGTGTTAAACCTTAAGAATTCAATCTTTTGTGGTACAGTTTGTAAACTCCAGGCTGCAATGAATTAAGTATTTTTATAAGTTCCATGTTATAAACAAGATTCTAGGAAACTAGGTCAAATTTATGAAAATGATACGGTTCTGTTACACATGCGTTCTATACCAGATTAGTTAAAGATCTTAATGGATGCCCTAATGTATTTAAAATTTAGTTGTAAATTGGCACATTCATATTTCCCAGGGTATTTCTTTGTGCTCACTTTTAAGAAGTCATTTGAGAGGTTTTCATCCAAACTAGCTTGTATTTTTCCATATAGCCACTGCCGATTTATTTCAGAACTGCGCACATTGCTTTCCCAATTAACTATGGACCACCCTACTATAGAAAAGTTTATGCAGAGCAATCAGCTAGTTGCTACATTTCTCAATCATAACCCATTAAGTGATTATCAAAAGGTAGTAGCCTTCCTAGATACAAAGCCAGGAAGTTTGTAGCACCATCAAATGAGAATCTTTGGGCCATTACTAAAGCGGTCTAGGCTTTAAAAGCCACTTGCTACGAATATTCAAACATTTATGTATGGTTTGCAGTTTTATTGCTAGTTCCGCAAGAATTTCAGTGAAATTATACTGCATTGCAGGACAATCATTAAAAATTTGAAGAGGCAAAGTATAATTTATTAAGATATAGTTTCACTTTCCAACTGCAGCAAGCTTAGGCAGAAAAATTTGTAAATGTGCCTTCTGATATATATTTTAATTCCTTTATAAAGTTTAATTTCCCCACAACTTTAATTTTATAAAACTGCATAGCATTTCCAAATTCGAAAATTCCAGATTAACAAAGATTGTGGGGGGTTGGACTAGTACAAACAAATCAGAAAGCGGGTATAATTGAATCTATACTAATTTAATTAACACTGCATACAATATACTTGGGAAAGCAATATTTACAATAATTAGAGGAATCAGTAAATCCGTTTCAGCAGTTACATTAAGGTTAAATATCTTTCAGGGAAGACCCATCCGATCCTATATTATCCCTACCAAAGAAAATTAAGACAACGATAATGTTCTTTCACTCCTTACTCAAGTTTATTTTTATAAAAACCATACATCTTAAAGACTAGATAACACAGTTAACCTATGATGGTCTCTAAGATGTAGGTTACTTCTTCTTGAGGGCTTTCTCTGCTGCCTTTGTGGTCTTTCCGCCACCTTCCTTCTTGTTAACGTCCTTGATAACTCCCACAGCAACCGTCTGCTTCATGTCACGCACAGCAAAACGACCAAGTGGAGCATACTTCTGGAAGGTTTCTACACACATTGGCTTACTGGGCACCATTTTAACAGTGCAGGAATCTCCAGACTTGATGGTCTTTGGTCCAGTTTCCAGTACCTTACCGGTACGCCTATCAATCTTTTCCAGAAGTTCGTAGAACTTGCAGGCAATGTGAGCAGTGTGGCAGTCGAGCACAGGCGTGTACCCAGCATTGATCTGGCCGGGGTGGTTCAAGACGATCACCTGGGCAGTGAAGTCCTGGGCCTCCTTGGCTGGATCATTCTTTGAGTCAGAAGCAACAAAACCACGTTTCAGATCTTTAACAGAAACGTTCTTCACGTTGAAGCCAACGTTGTCACCTGGGACAGCTTCCACTAGGGCTTCGTGGTGCATTTCTACAGACTTTACTTCAGTTGTGGGGCCAGTTGGAGCAAAATTGACTACCATGCCAGGCTTTAGGATACCGGTTTCTACACGTCCCACAGGCACTGTTCCAATACCACCGATTTTGTAGACATCCTGGAAAGAAAAAAAAAATGGTAAAGGTCTGCATACCATACAATGCTAGTTTAATTTTTTTCTAGACTGATTGAACACTGCAGTTTTCATTGCAAGATTATTAATTTGAACAACCATTTACAATTAGGGGAAAAATAAGTATTATCTAGAGCAGCACCAGTGCTGCTTTAGTGATTCCAAGTAAACATTCCCAATTTCAAATTGGAACAAACCCAACAAGCTCCCATAGGCAGTTTGTATTATTACACAAGCAATTTTGTAAGAACTTTGCACAGGTCACAAATTCCTGGGCCTAGTATGGTAGGCATGAACTTAGTCCCCATGGCATATATGCAACTGAAAACTCCACCCATACTGCCAGGAGCACTATGCAACTGGTGTATAGAGATCTTTACCACCACCATCACAATTAGGCCTAAGCCATTTTGTATTAGGCCTCCGATTTACTAAATTTAAATCAAATTCTAAATTTGATATTTACCTTTAAAAATGTAAAGGATGACCACTAATAAAGGGGCAAGAGTTTAAAACTTAAATCTCCTCTTTACTAGTTTTATGAAAAAGGCTGTAATTGTTCCAAGTTCCAGTAATGCAGCCTAAATAGGGATGTAATTTTTTTTAAATTTTTAAGTTTTCAGCAAGTTGATACAACCACAAGATTCAAATATGATCATTCTATGGCTTGACACATTAGCATAAGGATCTGAAGATGCAGATCTTCCAAAATGGTTTTTACCAATACAAATAGTCAAGTTCCCCAAAAATGTAAATGTAGTGTTTATTGCTATAAAATCAATAAATAACTTACGCAAAATGCTGGCATCATGAGAGAAACTTTACAAACAAGCAAGTTATGAAATTTTAACACTATTGGTAACTTTGGACCAGACTCACGTCTACTACAAACAATATTTGTATAAAATTAATTTTATATCCAATCTACCTCGGGAGAGTATCAAAATAAGTG